ATGTCAGCAGACAGCAAGAAGCCTCCCAGATCTCCAGATGCATTTGAGATATCAAAAAAGTACTCCAGAGTGTTGTTCAGCATGGGGGTAAGTAGAAAATGAAGGCTAATCATGTTGGGCGTACTATTCCTTTAAGATGAAGAAATCTGTAAACATTCGAATACGTTTTCCACAGCACTGTAGATCATTTTATCTGGGGAACTCTAGTATTTTATTTTCAATGTAAAATCCAACCATTATATTAAATAAATTACGTCCTCCTAGAACCTGAGAAATGTTTTGTTCTCAAATATGCATGTTCAGAGAAAAAATCCTTGTAAAACAGAAAGATGAAAAGTTCTTTGTGGTACTTTGACTTACCAATGGAGCGGTCTGCACTGGTTGATTTGGTGTATGCCAGGAAAGCAGCCAACAGGAAAATTGAAGAAAGTAGCTCAGCTCTACCTACTACACCAGTGACCTAAATAGAACAGAAAAAAAAGGACATTAGTTTACTCCATTAAACAAGCATATCAGTTTAGAAATCACTTTTTTGTAGATGTAGAGGACAACCTGGAAGTTCTAAATTTTAGTTTTAATCAAGAACGAAACCTATAAAAAGATTTTGCGCTTTTGCTCTGATGTTTCGCCTGGTGAGTAACAGCTTTTTGCACGGTCAGTAAAAGGCTCCACTACATTGTGGAATCTGCTAGAAGTCGTTTTCACCTCAACATCTCAAAACTAGATTTAACAGAGCAAGTTGCGGTGCTTTATTTACTTTGGAAAGCTGTACAAAGCAATGGGATTTTGCTGGATTCAGCAGATCCTCCATAAATACTGTTAGTTCAGGGAGTCCCAGGTGCTATGGTTAGATCACGACCGACCTCTGTGGAGCTTGAGGTAAGTTGAAATAATGTTCTGGAGCTCAGACAACAGCTGGAAATCAGAGCAAGAAAGCTGGCGAAGAGCGCACTAAAACTGGATTGTAACTTTCTCTGGAGCTAAGGAACCAAAGCTGGGGATAGGAGGAGGGCAGAGATAGATCAGAGAAGTCCATCAGGTAGAGAGTGCCAAAATAACAGATAAATGGAGGGTGACCAGAGATAGAGTTTGCTGGAGTTATGAGAGGATGATAAATGACAAATGATTTATCCGTCCTTCTTGGGCTGAATTAAGCAGTTTTTTTAAGCCACCCACAAACTCTCCCTCTTAGAAACATTCCCTACTTCCTCATTTTGCAGCATTATTTGCTTTATCTTCCATTTTTATTGAAAAAGGTTAGTCTCCTCTGAGCTGCTACATCTTAACTTAAAGCCACATCCAATCCCTGGCTAGTTTTCACAAATTGAAAATACACAAAAGCTCAGGTTCTTCAACTCCTACAAATTTCTCATGGTGGACTCTGCAGGTTCAGCAATGCTCTCGCTTCGCTGTATTCACCGAAAAATTGCTTTTGCCAAGCTAGAATTGTTAGCTTTGCCTCTTGGTGCTCCTGAGCTGCCCTCTACATAGTGATAAAATGTAATCGATCAGGGCATAAAAAACGTATTCTATATGAACGAACTTTCAGGATACAGACACCGTGGACACATCGAATATGGTACGGCTGCAGTTTTTCCAGACGTTGGATCAAATTTCAAGAGCCAAACAAGAGAAATGAGGCGCTACACAGGAGTGTGTCCAAGTGAATTTTACAATAAAATCAATCCACAAACATACACTTAGTTGAAAAATGAACTCAAAAAAGCAAAACAAACATTGAAACAGAAGGGCTGTTGGAGGATAGAAAAAAGATTATTTATACTCACAGGTAACAAGTTTAGCCCTAGATCTCCTAGAATGAACAGGAACCTAAATTCATTTTTTTTAAACTCGCCCGGCTGCCCGCAGCTTTCAGCGGGTGGCCTTTTGTTGCCACAGTCACAGCATAGTTAATGTGAGGCCAGCATGAGATGCAGGGAAGCAATAAACAATAACATTTTGTGAATTTTTACTGGCTATACTTGGATTAATTCAAAAGCAGGATTTCTAGTTTCACTTTTATGCAGATGATTATCAAATCTATGTGCGACTTAAGGGTAACACAAACACTGGCATTTTTTTAAATCTTAAGGAAAAAATAAAAAAAAACAGGTGATGATATTCGGCAGCACTTCAGCTGGTCTTTGTTTAGACCTGGGGCTTCTCGGTCAGTTTCTGAAACCGGGAGCCACAAATCTGGGTTTAAAAATGTACCATTGACTCATATTATACAATCAGAACAAGCATGTTGTCAAGTTAGGGTTCTTTAGGCTTGGTCACATTTTCCCAATTTGTTCCCCTTGCTGCCAATCTAGGTTAGGATACAATACCATGAACCAACGGTAGCTCAGTGGGACCCGGGCCATCTCTCTTGCCTTCATGGGTGTTTGTTGTTATTTGATCTTAAAACCAAAATCCATTTCCTCTTCCAAATAACATAGCATGCCTTTACCAAGTGCTTTTCTACATTTAAACCATTTTTGATCCCTGGTGCATGCTAAAACAGATGAGAACACAGAGTATTGAAAGATAACAAACATCCCAACGGCATAATACATACCTGAGCCTCGCTTCACTGTTATCTACAAGGTAACATGGCTCTAATCCTGATTCATAGGGGCTCCATGCCAAACTGGCAGACAAAACAATCATGGTTTCATGAGTCAAATACTTAGTCACATGAGTCAAATACTTAGTCACATGAGTCAAATACTTAGTCACATCTATTAAGGCCAGTCAATGTGTACTTAGCCCAACTGTAAACTTTTCAGTTAAGGTCTGTAGGCTTTCTTTGTAATGCGATTTCTTACCGATTACTTGGTTGATATAAGTGTCTCCTAATTATTACAACTGCAAACCTTACTGGATCATAAGCTGATCCATATGAAAAGAAGATGTTTTTTTCCCTCTGTCTTTCAGGTTTTTGCTTTCCATTTTTAAAGAATTTAAGTTTATTTTAGCTGAGCAGCCGATACTTATCTGCACCTTGTATGTTTTAGGTGTCTTATTGCTGTACGTGAAGACAGTAAACTTAATCAGAGCTTAAGGTTCAGATTAAGTCATTCCCTGGAGTTCTGACACCCAAAGCAAATCAAACACATTACACAGTCTTCTGCTGCTTGCAGTAAACAAATTAATGCATGAGACTGGAGAAAATCTTCAGCGCTGAGGAAAACATCATTCCTTGTTCAGTTGTCTTGGAAAACAGCTTTTTTCCCTGCTAAGTGAAAAAAAAGTAACACTTTGTACGAGCCCTACTAGAAAAAGAACTTGAAACTGTTAACTCCAACAAAGAGGGAATCTGTGCAAAGAGCTGAAGATTTGGGTGATTGCAAGGAGGTTGTGTACTTTAAGACTTGAATCACAGAAATAAATTCAATGGAAATTCAATTTAACTCTACCTTTATGGAGTCAATTCACAACACATGTCATCTCAAGGCACTAAACAGCGACAATTAAATCTAACGGGTTAAACGTTTTATAAGGGGAACTGGCTGATTGCATCCAGTTATTGACTTTAGGTTGCATTCCTCCTGAGCATGAGGTGACAGTAGATATTCACATGTCTTGCTGAGAAATGCTTGAGGAAGCATGCAGAAAAGCAGGCAAGTTTAAAAGCTTCTAAGTTTGAATATGTTCTTCACTTTCTAAGAATTTAGACAAATACTGATATGCTGTCTATTATAAAATTAAGAAAATTAATGGATACTTTATTCTTTTTCCACAATTCTCTTTTTCTATTGGTTTGTTATCTTTTAAGATAACCCTGTCCATTCTCTCCTGAGAAATAACATTCTTGCATAATTGTAAAGTTTTCATCTAAATCTGTCAGGAGAAATTAATAGAATTATGACTAATGGTTTTAAGCTTCCCCAATAGGCACATTTTAATAGCTTGCTTATCAGCCCTAAATAAAGGTTAGGATAGCAAATCATAAATACATTCTGGTTTTCTATAAAGGTTAAGATAGCAAAACTTAATTACATTCTGGTTTTCTTTGTGTTTTTAGCCCAATGTTTTGGAAAACAGCACAAGACCAAAGATGAGGGTTGAGCTAATAATGTAGATCAACTCCTCAGAACAACAGTATTAAAAACACAGGAGTGTTTCGATTACTTGGGTTCTGGTTGGTCTCATTTTCGTAAAAGGGTAAAAGTTGATCCGCAACAAGAAACCATTTACAGCTTGCAACACAATATGAAACTGCTACCAAATTTGCTTTGGCACGATTGCAGAAGGCATAGACAAAGGGGACTGCATGAAAGTCTGTTGGCAGCAGATTAAAGAGTATATGTCATTAGATCAGGCATCATTTTCACTTTCTACTTATGTTAACCCCAAATGTAAACATCCACCCAATTTTGTATCTAAAACTGAAACGTCTTCCTGAAAAAAGTGAGATTTAATCAAAATAAAAAGTCAAATGAGAAGTATAGACACTGGAGCCCCATCCTCAACTATCTCAAAACTGTGCAGCGCGCCATTAAATTTGGAGAATCTCAGCCATCGCCAACTTCTCAAGAAGTGACAACAAAGCTTGAGCTGAAGACATTTAGGGTCTGATCTGCGTTTGTACACACAGAGCAGATCCTCAAAGAGGTGCAAAGGGATTTGTGTTTGTAGGTCAGCAGACAGCACATACAAACTTCCTTGGTGTGTAGGGGTGAGGTAAACCAGGTTCAAAGGATTCCAAAACAGCCAATCTGTCAGTCTGAACCTACCACTGGTCCTGAAATCACAGTAAGTCATAGCTGAATCAAAGAAAAGTCTCTGGGTCAGTCTAATAGTTTGCATATTAGGGCAAGATTTGAACATTGCCCCCAATATGAAGAAAACAATGAAAGAAAAAGGAGTGGGTTTTATTAGCAAGGAGACAAGATAGAATATGTAGCATAGATTAAAACATAACCCCCTGGTTCTCCGCAAAGTGCGCAGACATCAAAACCAAGAAACTTGTAGCTGTAGAGTCAGAAAAATGTATCCCTACAAAAGACTTAAGGAGGGCTCAATACATCTTATCCTTACGAAAAAAAGTGGCTTTTAATTTCTCTGTTGAACTGAAGTTGGTCAGTAATTTACAGAACAAAGTCTGGCTGCTGGTAAATCACCACAATGTACTGAGGAAGAGCTGATGGAAGAGCTGGTGACTTTGATTAGAGACATCTCTAAGGGCATTAGCAAGGGATGGAAAGATACTAAACAAAAGAAGCTGACTGTTTTAATAAAGCTTAGAGCTAGACTGGCTCGTTATTTATAGATAGGCTGCTATTGGCTTAGAGTGCAGGAGGACATAGGGACCACTTTTCATCATTGTGCTTTATTGTATCTCTATTGTCCAATTCTGCAGTATTTGTTGGTTCAAACCCTAACTTTGTCCGCTTTTTCTCATCATAGTAGCTTTATCTACTCTGGTCATGATTGGCTGTGACATCATCCTGGAGAAATATCAGCTGGGCAGCTGTCATCAACATCTTTGATTATAGGTGACAAAGTTGTGCCTGTTCTCCAGTGTTTAGTCTTGTTTCTCTCCTATACATAGCTATTGGTCCAGATTTTACTGTGACCAACTGTATGTGCTCTTTTTCATCTTTTTTGAGATACAAACTGGCTCAGTGCGCATCTGCTTAAATGTTTCTCTCCTAGTCGGAGACAATTGTGGAGCTAGTTTACTGTTACCTTTTATAACATAGAAATAGGGTTGTCAAAAGTATCGATACTCAAAAAAGTATCGATACTGAAATGTTGTATCCGGATACAATACTCATTTTCAAAAGTATCGAGTACCAGTCGCACCTAAACAGTCATTCATCTAAAGTGCAGAATAAAGGAAAATGCACTTTCTGAACACTGTGATTGAATAATTCTGTGCACTTTTCAGTTTCAGACTTTTTTTGTAACAATTGCAGCTGCTGAGAATTATTTTTGTTTCTTAACCGGTTTGGCTAGTGTCATTGTTATGTGTGCAAAGCATAGCCAAGGAAGGAACACTTAATTTTAATTTTGCAAGTTTTTTATCAAGCTTGCTTAATATTGTGCACAGCAAACAACCTCAAAATGTTGTTCTTATTGTTTAATGTATTTATTTATTTATTGTATTTTAATTATTAATCAAAATAATTCTGTTGAAATTTTATCCTTGTGGTATCGAAAATGGTATCGAGTATCGACTATTTTACTTAGTATCGGTATCGAGTTGAAAAGTTTAGTATCGTGACAACCCTACATAGAAACCATTTATAGATCATTGCTTATAGGTTTGCTTTGTGTGTGCTTCTTATCCTCTTGAAGCCCAAGTCAGCCTCGGCAGATGGCCGCTCACACTGAGCCTCGTTTTGTTGGAAGTTTTTTCATGTTAAAGGGAGTTTTCCTCTCCTGTGTTGCTATAAACATGCACAGAGTAAAGTACTGTTGTTAAGTCAATGACCCAATGCGAGCAAATATATGCCGTCTCTACATGCTCATCCAGGAGGAGTGAATCCTGTTGTCAATGACTGGATGTAATGAGCTGCTTTTCCTTAGTTAGAAACTTTTTACAAATCTGACTAGGTGATCTGGTTGTATCGTCTCTGTGAAGTGCTTTGAGATGACGTTTTGAGAATTGGTACTGTATAAATATACTGAATTGAACTGAATGAAAAACAGGCTGTGAGCAGAAATAACTTACAGCAAACATAGGAACTTCAGATAGAATTGCTTTATTCACTAATAGAAATGTTTACAGACGCTTTTGGCGTCATTAGATTTCACATAACTGAGCAGAAATAACCTACTTTCCTTCAAAAGTTGGACATAAAGTGTGTCAAAATACTCTTTGAAATTAAACCATTAATAAAACTCACAGATAAAAGTGAGGGGAAAAACTAAAAATCAGGACATAAAACGCTTTACTTTTGGGAACATTTTATCTACTACAGTAGAGGCTTGAATACACCGATCCTGTGAAAACAGGCCTGCTCAGATAGATCATTTCAGCAGACAAATTATCCCTTTAAAAAGAGCCTCTCTTACAGCGACGTCTGTCACTTTGTAAAGGATGACTGCCCTCATGTGGAAGAAACAACAATGTCTGCCCCATTTTATCAGAAACATACAAACCCTAAAACCTCTCATAAGGTCCCACACGAGGTTCCAGAAAGAGCTTTACAAATTAAGAGCCTATTGTTTGCAGTTTGTAGCCCTTAAGAACACACGCATGGGCATTATACAGGAGCTTCGGCTTCTAACTAAAAGGATTAACGTCAACACTCAAATTGAGCACATGCTCAGTTCACAGACTGACCTATTTGAAAATTAGTAAAGAAAGAAATAAAAACCAGCAACATCCAACTTCTAGAAGCCTTTCAAATATCCAATCAGTTTATCAAAGCTAATTCAAGTGAACAAAAGACAAGTTGAACACAGTTGGCTCAATTACACAGAATTACCCAGGCCCAATTTTCCTCTTTTGAGCATCTTCTAACTGCTTTTTAATTGCAGGCTTTCCCCTCAAGACTTTAAGAGGTTGAGAAAAAAACCACAAAAAAACCCTACATTCAAAAATTCATCACCAGAAAACGTCTAGAAAGACATGAGGAACGGACAAGGCCTCTTTGTACAGGCTTATCATGAAGAGACCTTCAGTGCTCGGAACATTACAGCAACACAAATGATCCGTTCAGAACCAGATTCCAGACGGAGATAACAGGCAGGGCATTCGTTGGACTCATTTGTGAGGAAAAATTGTTTCCATTCAAGATGTCAGGAGAGGATCTGCACAGATTAGAGCAAACCAGGAGGAAGCCTCGAGCAGCGGTGGTGAAATCGCTCGACAGCTGCGCTCCAGCCCGCCCGGCAGAAACACTTCTCTTTATTTGCCTGCTTTCCTCTCAGTTTACGCGGCTCGTTGCTGCAGCTGTGGCGATTGGAGCAAATCAGGATGTCCAGTTAGACATCTGTCCACCACTGCAGCGCTTTTAGTGTGCAACATGAGCTGAATGAAGTGGTGTTAATATGAAGAAGAAAAAGGAAGGGAAAATGCTTTGATCTACACCAGAGATCTACAGCTCCATCCCAGGGGGCCGGTGTCCCGCAGCTGTTTAATGCATCTATGTCTCAACACACCAATTATCAGCCCCTCAGCAGAGCTGGACTGTATGCAAGTGAGGCCATTCAACTACTTGCTTCCGGTGTGTAGGACACGGGACACATTAACGGTACAGGACCCCGGGCCCTCAAGGATCTCGGAACAAGTCCACTGATGAAGCACTTAGGACAATCTTAGGGGATGATTCTATGGAAAGTCATGTAATTCATAAATAAATAAATACATAATTATAAATAAAATATCAATAAATATTACATAAAACAAATCAATGCCACCCAAATAGTAAACATATATTTTTAAAATTTACCCGCAGAGAATCATCCCACAGATGTTCAATGATATTCAGGTCTGGGATTTGGATGGCCATTCCAGAACATTGTAATTGTTTCTCTGCATGAATGTCTGAGTAGATTTGGAGCGATGTTTTGGATTACTGTCTTCCTGAGATATCCATCCCCGGCGTGACTTCAACTTCCTAACTGATTCTTGAACATTGTTCTCAACAATCTGCTGATATGGAGTGGAATCCATACGACCCTCAACTCTAACAAGATTCCCAGCAGTTGCCAGCATTGGCAACGCAGCCCTAAAGCATGATGGAACCTCCACCAAATTTTACAGTGGGTAGCAAGTGCTTTTCTTGGAACGGTGTGTTTTTTTTGCCTCCATGAATAACGCCTTTTTTTATGAGCAAACAACTCGATCTTTGTTTCATCAGTCCACATGACCTTGTTCCAAAATGAAGCTGGCTTGTCCAAATGTACTTTTGCATACCTCAAGCGATTCTGTGTGTGGCGCGCTTGCAGAAAAGGCTTCTGTCGCAGCACTATCCCATACAGCTTCTCCTGGTGCAAAGTGCACTGACTTGTTGAATGATGCACAGTGACACCATCTGCAGCAAGATGACCTTGCAGGTCTTTGGAGGTGGTCTTTGGGTTGTCCTTGACGATTCTCACCATTCTTCTTCTCAGCCTCTCTGATATTTTTCTTGGCCTGCCACTTCTGGGCTTAACAAGAACTGTCCCTGTGGTCTTCCATTTCTTACTATGTTCCTTACAGTTTAAATCTCTGAGAAAACTTTTTGTATCCTTCCCCTGAAAGGCTATGTTAGACAAACTTTTTTTCAGATCATTTGAGAATTGTTTTGAGGTGCCCATGATGAATCTTTAGAGGAGATTCAAACAGGAGAACAACTTGCAGCTGGCCACCTTAAATACATTTTCTCACAATTGGTTACACCTGGATATGAAGCTTAAATCTTAATGAACTTACCAAACAAATTTTATCTTTCAGTAAGTGAGTGAAAAGTAGTTAAGTATATTCAAATCAATAAAATCATTAGGGTACCCAACTTTTTGCACCAGTCAAATTGTGTTTTAATGCATACTGCACATTTTCTGTTAGTCCAATAAACCTCATCAGTTATTAGATATATCAAACGGAAATAGCTGTTGCAAACACCCAAATATTTAGAAATAAAAATAATTAAGATTAATAGGGGCCCAAATGTTTTCATATGACTGTACATGCGTCGGCTGAGATTAGTGCATTCAGCAGCCGTAACTTTAGATCACACAAATAAAAATGCATTGCTGCTCCACCAAGGTGCCTTCAAGGACCACATGGGGGGCCCTCAGAGTCTTCTAAATAAAGAACAACCCACCAGTGGGCTAAGTTTGAAATTTTATTTTATTCTGTTGCTCTTCTTTTTAATCATTTATAGAGATTTCAAAATGACAATGTCTAAATAAACTTAGAAATTAACAGAAACAATAAAAATATGTTGATAATGAACAAAGTTTAGGCTAACGCTAAACCTTGCAGCTCATGGGTCAGTAATGGTCGCCCTTCCTACGTCTCGGTACCCTTGAAGTGGCCCTCAGCCTTTAAAATGTTGGTGACCCCTGAGCTAGAGCAATGTCTAAATAATTGGTATCAGCCTTAAAAAAAAACTAATAGAAAGATACTTTTGAAGAGAATGTGTATCTTTAAGGTAAATCTACAACATGTATTTTCTGAGTTTTTAGAAGTAAACGCAAAACGAGACCTTGGTGTTCAAACATGAAAAGCCAGTACATGTAGATGTTGTGAAAAAGGCCACAGTCTGTCTCCTTTAATATCACACAGCACATACTGTACATTACAATAACTTCATAAAAAAAAATAAAATAAAATAAAACCCTGCAAACTTACCGCCTCGGTGTGGACGGGGTGCACGGCAAACAGCAGCGCCGCCAGCAGGCTGAAAGTCCTGTCCAGGAATAGTCGGCAAACCCGCAGGAAAAGGATGCAAACGACGGCGTGTAGAATGATATTCAGCAGATGATAGGAAGCTGCGCTGAGCTCACTGAAGAGGTAGTTCAGTCGGAAGGTGAGCACTGTTAGCGGTCTGTAAGACTTATGGCTCCGTTCCTGAAGAATGGGGGAGGTACATAATCAAGCGGTCAGATCACATTGTTACATTCATCAGATTAAGCTGCACCATCAACAGAAATTTTAACATTCAAGAATCAAACGATGCGGCTAAAGGATTTAAAGCAGTATAAGAGCAGGAGGTTTGTAACGGTTAATCACCTCAGCCATCGGCGTTCCCCAAAAGTCATTGAGGAACAGGTTGCCGAGAGGCGTCGAGGGCCGGAGGTCCTTGTTGTCGAGGATAGCGGAGACGTCGTCAAACACAAAGCCGCAGGACAGACTGTTCCAGTAGCAGCCCACCACCAGCCCTGTCAGAAGTAGAATCTCCTTCCACGACACGACAGCCATACCTGACCCCAACCGTCATGGATCACTGCAGAAGAAAATCAAACATTTAATTTATGATAAAAGGAAGCTTTCATTTAGAGCCGTATATTCCTAAAGATGTCTTGTCTGGCTTCTTTAGATTGAATATTGTGACGTTAAGTTTAGTGGACAGAGGGGTAAGGAGAGTAAACTAACCCATGGACCAACGAGACAGTCCACGGAACTAGGGGAACAGCTCATTTCAAGAAAATACATTTCCCTCATCACATTCATTTTGATTTATTACTGAACATGTTTGTTTGAACCTGAATACCTCTGTCACTTAAAGCACAACATAACTACAGATGGGCATTGAGAATTGATAGGAACTGGAATCGAAAAGAGGAATCCAGATGCCCCACCCCCAAAAATAACATTAATATGACACATTTAATAAGTTGAACTTTGTGACCTTATCCATCATTTTCAGTTGCAGGACACCTGCTGTAGTGGGTAAGCCCATAGTACACGATATCATCATGGTGTTAAAGATGCTTAAATAGATCCAACAGATGTTAATTTTTTTTTTTGCGTAGTCAGTAGAACTACTCTTTAACTCTTTGAGTTATGTATAATAATTATACATAATACTTTTAATTAGGGCTGAAACAATCAGATTAATCATGATTAATCGACTATTGAAATAATAACAAACAGTATCAAATAGTAATCAATTAATCATTATTGATACCACACGTAGTGCAATCCGATATCAGTCTAAGCTGTGGAGACACTGGTATTCCTGTCTTCTTAAAGATCCTATTTAATCGATAATGGTACTTGTATTGTGTTTTTATCATTAACTATTTTTATTTTATTTCTATGTATGTATTTATTGGAATAAAGTTTATCTATCTATCTATCTATCTATCTATCTATCTATCTATTACCTGGAATATACTGTAGAGGCTCTAAAACATGCCTTTAGCTGACAGAGCGACCGACTTAGAGCAGTAATTATACCAAAATTGTAAAAAAAAAAAAACAAAAAAAAACAATATGCAAACATTTTGCATTTAAGATTAAAAAATATATATTTTTCGTCCATCAATATGCTCTATCCAAAACTGCTGAAGAGAAAAAACTTTTATTTTCACCTGGTTTATATTCGTAAAAAAAATCTTCTTTAAGGAACCTTTTTCTATCCAATTATTAGACTAAAACTAATCTTTCTTTATCCCTTGAGATTACTCCTTCAGGGAAATTCTGGTTCCAGTAGCTTATATAGAGTACAAAAAGTTAAAGCAAGTCACCATTAAAGATAAAAAATATGACAGACAATATAAAAAGAGTGGATGAAGCATAAAAAAGAAAAAACTTGTAATGTCCTGGAATAAGTTTTTCTTGGATATAAGAAAAATCTGCAGAGAGCTAAGGGAAGACTACACAGTAATTGACTTTGGTTATTGCACTTGCACTGCAGAGATTTACTGACCATATAAACAAGTAAAAATTATACAGAATATACAGCAGCTGACTGACTTTACAGTGCAAATGCAATAACCTAAGTCAACTACTGTGTGCAAAAAAAAGTGCAAGTGCAAAAAGATAATCGACAGATTAATCGATTTGCAAAATAATCGTTAGTTGCAGCCCTACTTGTAATGTCGTAAACATTCTTTTGTTGTAAAAAATAAATTAAAAATCGAATTTTTCAGTTTTGTTTTTCACCTGAACATTTCAAACATGGGACAGTAAAGAAGCTTTGACTTTCTATTGTGAAAACTCATCCGTTATCTGCTGTAACGGTAGAAATATGTACATAAATAAAGTACATACATGAACACACACATATACACATATACTTTTCCAAAAGAAAAAAAAAATATATATTTTTTTTCTCTTATAAGCAAATGCAAATAGTTTATTAATCATTTAAATTTTCCCCTTAATACTATATTAATCACAATACTTCTTTGTTTTCTTTAAAACCAGAAGAGTTCTCTTCCTAATATAATCCGTTTGATTTTACTTGGATAGGTTATTTTTATTTTCTACAAATTAAAGCAAGGGGCTGAACATCCACCCGGAAGAGTGATTCCTAATTCCCTCCTAGGAGTTGTAGTACAATACCTTACAGTACATTAACCATATAACCATTCCTATTTGTTCACACAGTGCAGTGAGGGGCTTATTTTAAAGTTGAAAATGAAAACATAGCCTCTAGATCATCAACATGTCGATCTGTTTTTCCTTTGGGTTTAAATGCACACAGTAATCAAACCACACCTTTGCTGTCAAAACTCCAAACGAAAATGGGGACACTTTAGGTCACCTGGTGAACAACAACAAACGCTTTTTTACTAAATGAATTAAACTAACTGATTTCAAAAGACACAGCAGGACAAAGTGAGCGAGTATTAAGCGATTTTTATCAAGCCGCGATGTTTGCTAACGTCCCGTAGCGTTAGCAACTTTAGCAGGAAATGCTAACTAGGTTGCGACGAGTCTTAAAGAGGTTGAATACTGTGAGGGCTGCGTTCTGCCTTACCGAGGACACGCAAGAACAGAGAGGCGAGCTTCGGTTAAGTTTATGATAAAAACTCAAGACGGTGCAGGAGGCTTGGACTGACAGGGGGGGTTCATTTGTACCAGCTAGCTCAAACGCACCGCAGCTATCCCTTCCGGTGCGGAGGTGAGCGCGCGGGTTCAACAACATTAGCCAGGATAGGAATGGAAGAGACAGCGGCTCGTTTGATCTTGTAGAAGCGCTCGCGCGACCTAAACCGATACAGCTCTGTTTTTGACTTTGACGGTTTTGTTCTTTCTCTCTTTTTTTCCCCCCTACAGATTACTGTCCTTGTTTGTTTTTATCTCCGCGTCACTGATGTTGTGAGAGCCGTAACTTAGCAGCAGCCAAAGCTTCACATCACGGACTCCTAAGGACAGTTTTTTTGTCGTCTCGGAAATTTTCTCTTTAACCAAAGCCTTTATATCCAGCTAGTCATATTCCACTATACGGCTTAGAATTAACGTTTCTGAAGCGTAAATTTGTTATTGTTTTTGCCTCATAACTTTACTAGAAATAATAATATGATATATAATTTAACCGAGCCCCTCTGGAAGCGCTGCACGCTTACAATTTAGATTTATTGGCTGTCTTTAAAACGTCCCCGTATCAAAATGCCGCCGTCCGCTCTCATATGGGAGAAAGTGTCTAAAATTGATCCGCAGACTCTTGACCAGTGTGAAAAAGACGAACTGGATGAAGTCTTCCGCGTTTTTGTTGCGGTAATTCTTTATTGTTTACATTTTACAGCATGTTCACAGACCTCTGCTCAGTGTCTTCTGCCTGATAGATTTATTTGTTTAATAGGCAGAGAAGAAGACCCACCAAATAGTGACTGAATGTAAAAAGAGTAGTGTTAAAATTTATCCTTATTGATCATTAAAGCTGAAGGCATTCTAATCCAATCTATAGGTCTATCTAGAGACAGGGGCGAAGCTAGATTGGGGGCCAGGGGTGGCCATGGCCACCCTTAGCCAATCATTGGCCACCCCTACCATTTATTTCCCTCTAATACAGAGGTAGCAGCAGTAATACTCTCAAGTGAAATTTTCAAAACATTAACATTTTTCATAAATTAATTACTTGACAACAAAAACAATGTGACTAATATTAAAGATGATAAGTACAGATTTCATGCTCTTTTCAGAACTAGATTCTGTGTTTTATGGGGCGAAGAGAAAACGATGTGTCTCTG